CCTTGTGGGCGATTTGGCCAAACAGGCGGAAAAGGGAGCTCTACATAACTTTGCCGCAGTTCTGCAGTGGTTCTCCCGGTGACCCCCCTCATCACGATGCCATGTTATACTTTCTTTCCACGGTATGATCTTACTAGTTTATTAGTAGAGTGTACCCCTTGCTTATCTCCCTTAAGGTTGACCCACAGGCTAACCAGGGAGGATTTGTAAGAATACACCTAATTAGTAAACTTGCATATATATAAATCAATTATAAATGACCATCTTGCATTTTTTTTTGTTTTTTGTTTTTGCTAGGTTTTAAAATAAATTGATGGCATATAACATCAACAAACTCTGCAAAAGATATAAGGTACTTTCCATTTTACCAGAAATTCAAATTATAGTGATGTTTGGTCAAATGGAAAGTGTCCTAGCTTAAAGGGAGGGTTTCAAGGCTCACGAGCTCCAAAAAGAGTCAGTATTTTATGGTGTTCTTATATATGTTCCAGTGCCCAGTTGGAAATGGCATCTCAGTTGACCAGAGCTTGAGGTCCTGACAATTCCTTGTTAGGTCATAAATATGCATGAAGGGAATTTATAGGTGACCTCTGTGCTTTCATGTGGCAAATTCAATCAGGCTGATCTTAGTGCAAGGTTCCATCAACTTTTTATGAATTTTTTGATGATTTTGATATGATAACAGGGCAGGAAAAAACCCAGGTCTGATTGCCCAGGGCAATTTTAAGTTTGCTCTTGGGTAAGTGAAAATGGAAGTTTGGTAGTCCGGTGGGCAAGTGAAATTAGTCTCTGTAATAGTTAGTGATAACTTCCAATCAAAAACAATTTAAAAACGGAAGACTGCAAGATGAGCAAAACACTGAGTTGAAAGCAAGGATTAATTTAAAATCCAAGGACACTTGATCATAGACAGTACCTAGTAAAGTTAATGATGTAGTTGATCAGGCATGAACATTGCGCCTTATCGCAGTTCTAAAACTCGACTCACTGGAGTTCTTAAACTGGACTCACTTGAATGACATGAATTGTAACACATCCAAGTGTAAAGAAATAATATTTCAAAAGAAGACCAATGCTATGAATTTTCCTATTACTTACAATATTACACAGCATGTAAACTTGACCTTGCTTTGTTTTACCTTCCAGACTAACTGTTCATTTGCTAAGGATGTTAAAACTAAAACTAAAAGAAGCGGATAAATGTCAGCCAAGACAAAATCAATCATCTCTTCAAAGCAATTGTTCTTCCTAAAATAGTGTATGGTCTCCCTGTTTATGGCGCATGCCAGGTGGACTTAAATACAGTACAATGCTTCGTGAATAGATGCTTCAAGAAGCGCTACTCCTCAAAACTTTATAATATCCATTAACAAGAATAAAATTATTAAGGATGAAGGTGCAAACCAAAAAAAAGGCTAAAATTATTTAAACTAAGAAAGGAGACTAATTAGTCTCCTTTCTTAGTTTATATAGTCTTACCCTATTTTTTTGGTTCACATCTTCTTCCTTAATATATTCTTGTTAATATCTCACTTTGCTACACTATTTATTGCGTATTTTCATTTTATTTCTGACTGTACAACTGACGATGGATGATGTCTCATCCACAACATGTATTGTCTTCATTAATAAATGAACTTCAAAAACATTGTGTGGTTCATCAAAGTGATATCTTACTTTGTGCCACTACAAAGCCTTATTATTATTAAAGATTCAGCTATTGATGATATTGAGGCTGGTTTCGTCATTGGCTCCGGGCAACAACAAGTTGCCTAGGGAAGCCAAGAAACACCCCTTGTTTGCT